ATTTGACTCTAAAGGAACCCTTTCACCCTCGTGGAGATTGACCGGATCATCTAGATGATTAAAGCGATCAGGGCTGACAGATTTGGCATCATTAGAAAACGCAATATCCAACGGGACAATGTAATTCGACTGGCATGCTGCAGGCGTTTCATAGTGCAGCTCGCCTATATTATGGTTAGAGTTAGTATGGGATTCCTGAGACGGACTTGCTTCCCTGGCATCTTGAAGATCCCCAACTTCGCTACCAGCATCACTATCGTCCAAATCAGAGCCGAGCTCCATATCCACCTCATCGGACCCCAAGATAAATGAGTCTGCGGGAGCAGACTCATGAGCTAGCAAAACATCAGTAGAATTTGCCTCAGGACGCCTGGAAGATGACGTGGAAGTTGAATGAACAGGAGACAGAGGTTCAATCGAAGCAGAACAGATCTTAAGGGAAGGAGACAATTGCGGCGCATCATCTGTCGAAAGCTGGTTAAAGTCTGTAGAAGCTGGAGGCATTCCTGCGACGAAGAGCAAAATCAATAATCGCAAATAACTAAATGGTGTTTGATGAATACCATGAAAGGAGCAGTTCACGAATAACGCCCCTGCTAGGCTTCTAAAAGAGCAAGCTACGATAACTAGCTAGTAAATAACGAGCCACTAATGAAACGAGGGAAGACACTTGAGCTACAATCAAAATAAATGGTGACCGCGACGAGGAAAAGGGTGGAGCGAACCACAGCCTCTATTGAAAGATTAGACCACCAACAATAATGAAACTGGGTACGTTGTACTATCGCACTATCTGGATAGCATTCCATTTATCAAAGATAATTTACCATTATGCCCAAGTTTCGATAGAAGTGCAGACCAAATAACTGAACAAGTAAATTATATAGAAAACGAGGCCAGTAGCCCGAGCTAATTTAAAACACTAAAGTTGTGACCGTTTACCGCCTGTATTCCTAAATACATGAGAGTCAAAGTCAACTTCGGTGCGAACAATAAAAAAACAAGTAAAATGAGTATAGAGATTTCCTTTATTACAAACAATTCTGATTCAAACAATGTTAACAAAGAATATTAAGACACCTTAGACACGTTATCGAGGAATAAATGATGATCGCGCGGTTAGTTGACATTTGACGCTCAAAAGGATTAATGAGATTTTAGATGGGCCTAAATATCAGCCGAAGAATGTACATCGCAACAAGGTAGGTGGCATCATATAAGAATGAGTGGACAGGGGAAACGGTCACAAAGATTGCTCGTATGATACAAATTAGACTCCAGCCTTTTGTCAAGTAGGGAAACATGAGTAAAATGCGTGGATGAATGGCTTACAATATAAGGAGATAGCAATAAAGGATCTGTAAATGCGGCGAACAAAATCGGCAAAGCCCTATCCCAGGGTGAGCTAAATTAACAGCCTGTTGGACAACATGGGCAGTGGGAATTGAGCCTTACCTATTAAATGATGGTCTGCCAATAAATGGCCCTGGCATTTGTACTTATAGGAAAGCAAAGTGGTCATTTGAGACAGCAAAAAGGAATTCAAGCATGTCTGCAAATCTTTCAGAGGAAATTGACATTGTGAACTTGGAGATTGTCTCTTCTCACTCGGGTCTTGCGAACCATTTTCTGTAGGTTTAGAGTCACATGTAGAATCTTTTCTGCTTGGGGCATTGGGAGCCACATGGTCTACGGAATTTTGGCGCCTATTACTACCTAGCCCGTTGGGATCGTCGTCACCACTATCATCATCATTGTCAGCACCTCTGTTATGGATCTGATTAGCTTCATCATGGCAGGATGTGATATGATCTTTATCTTTTTTAACTTTCACACATCTAATCTGTTTATCCCGAACAAGATCAGCAAGCGTTCCACTGCACTTTTCAACAGATTTTGACTCAGAATTCCGCTGACGTGATCCTGCTCTGTGGCCAGATTCTATCGGGACTTGCACAGGACTAGCTCTGGTTATAATTGCCTTGTCGCAAGATTCCCTTGGAATAGCGTGAGGTAAAGCGAGTGGTTCCGACTTGGGATGATGAGAATCGCTGTGTCGATGCGTAGCATCAGAGATAGACTTTCCTTTCTCACTTTTGATATGCTCCTTAATTTCGACTGGCGCATCTAAGAAAACAGAAGTCTTTGATTTCTTTTTTTCGCCAGACTTAACCACCAGTTTGTTGAACTTTGCCACATCCTCTGACTTTTCCTTACTAGATGTTCGCGATTGTTTAGGTTTGGGAAATTTTTCTTCTTTGATTGGGGAGGAAGGCCGTTTTTTCTCAACCTTAGACCGCTTATTTGTGTCGTCAGATTGTTTTTTACACTGCAAGGGTCTATCAATTTTCTCCTTTCTATCTTTATCGGGAGAATGATCTTTTCGTGGAGACCGCCTACTTTCACGATGAAATCTACCATCACGATCCTCATCCTTAATCTTTTCTCTCATTTTGAACTTCTCCCTATTCCTTTTTTCTTTTTCTTTGAATCTCTCCTTATCTTTGTCTCGCTCTCGTTCTTTTTCCCTTATATTCCTAGAAGCACCACTTCTAGGGTAAGATCGTGATCGGTGGCGGCGACGTCTTGAAGAGGAAGAAGATGAACTAGACTTGGAGCGATGACGACGGTGCTTCCGCCTAGAAGAAGATCTGGAACGTCTCCTTGATCTTGAGCGAGATCTCCGTCTAGAACGCGAGCGGCGCCTGGAATGAGAATCAGATCGAGACCTCGAACGAGTCCGAGACCTCGAACGATCATCCTTGGATCTGGATAAATCGTCAGAAATCACTTTCGCTTGAGTAGCCAATGCAGGATTTGCTATCAAGGGTTGGGCAATCATCTGAGCAGAACGCAACTTTTGGGGGTTGACATACTGAAGAGTTGCAGGAGGAAGCTTGGAACGAATAATGCTATTAGGGGTTCCAGAAAGAGAAGCTGAAAGAATAGGATTCGCTGCAATGGCAGCGCTGGCCATGGGTAGAACTGGCAGAGCCATAAGGTTAGGGATCATTCCAGAAGTGGCACCAGCAGCAGCCATGGCTGCGGTTAAAGGATTAGACGCAAACTGGCCGTATGGACTAGCAAAAGTTTGCATGAGGGGATTTGGAAGCGAAGGAGTCGGTAGGAGACCTGTATCAGGCTTTGATATGACCGAGGAGGAACTAGTTT